TAAACACCTATTTGGCTCAGAGCTCTTGTTTTTGTGACAGGGTCTTATTATTCTAGGCTGCCCTGGAGCTTGCTTGCAACTAGTCTACAACTCTGGATCGTCCTTCCTTACTCTCCCAAGTGCTAGGATTACAGGCATGTGCCACCACACTTGGCTTGGCTCAGAACTTTTTAAACTTTAATTAATAAGAGCAGACAGTATGTACCTACAGAAGCCTCTTTCTGCGTGTGCTAGCCCTGTCAGAGGCACCAGGCCACTTGGGTGAAGAACACCCTTTGGAGCCTCCTAAGCTCACGACTTCCACTTGCTTCAACACTTTGCACACTCTCTAGCCGGGTATCCAGGGAACTTTCTCGGTCTTTATAAAATTCTGCCACACCTTAACCTTTCCTTAGTACATAGAGAACACCCAAGAACAGCAAACACAGTGGAGAAAACTGGCAGAATGCCTGCAGCCATAAAGAAGTCAGGGTGGGTAAACACTGGGAGCCACTTGCTCCATAAACATGGAACAAGGGACCATCCAGCTCCAACGAGGAAATGATGACTTGGCAAAGTAAGATCCATTTACTCTTTTGGAAAGGTTTGCAAGAATCCATTTTCCCCTCACTACCTTTTCCCCAGATCAGCCAGGAGACCTGCTAGGCACAAATGGCAGAGGAGTCCCCTTCTTACACAGGCAACAAGAAAACCCCAGTGGGTTTCAAATAACAGAACAGCAATATTGGTTTTGGCTGTATGGACTGCATAGCCCAGGCTGGCCATGACCTCATGATTGTCCTGTTATATAGTCTAGGCTGCACCAACCCTTCCCCTCAACCCCCACCCCATTACCCAGTACTGGAATTACACCACACCGAGTTCTTCTCTAAAGAAATTAGATTATTTTTCAACAATCATATCTGCCTCACACTGTCATTTCAAATGTTGCTCCTTTGGAGGACAGCAGGATAGAACTCACGTTTCTTGGCCTAGGAGCCAAGCACCCTAGAATTGGGCATTTTTCTCAGCCTAGCTTTAAAAGCATATCCTTGAAGAATTCCTATTTCTTTTTTGTTTCGTTTATTTGTTTGTTTTGAGACAAGGTCTAACTATGTATCCTTGGCTGGCCTGGAACTCATTATGTACACCAGACTGGCTTGAAGTCACAGAGCTCAGCCTGCCTCTGCCTCCCAAGTACTGGGATTAAAGGTGTGCCACCACACTGGGTGAATTCCTATTTCTTTACAAGACGTTGGTGACACTGGATCTCGGAAACTCTCCCAGGTTGTACACATATGCAAGATAAACCCAGTCATATCCCCTGAAGTTTCTAGAATAGTCTGGTTCTGCCTATACCACCTTGACTGCTCAGTCTTTTCTGAAATAAGCTGATGTGTTCCAACTGCATCTGAGTGAGCACATAGCTGAGTGGTCGACAGAGCATACTCAAGGCCTTTAAGACGTACCTCCAAGCCACATAACACTGTACAAACTTCCAGCTTCTGTGAACCTCATTTCTCTATCTGTAAAATGGGCACTGAAGTGATAAAAACCATAGGTAAGATGCACTGAAAATGCATGCACGTGCATGGCACACACCTGGAGATCAGAAGACAACTTGTAGGAGTTGGTTCTCTCTTTCCACCAGGTGGAATCTGGGATGGAACTCAGGTCATCAGGCTTGGGGGCAAGTGGCTGTACCTGCTGAGCCATCTTATGGGCCCTATTATTTATTTTTGAGACAGAATCTCACTTTGTAGCTCTGGCTGGTCTGGAACACACTAAGTAGTCTCGGCTGGTTTTGAACTCATTGAAATCCTCCTACCTAAGCTCACTAGTGCTGGAATGACAGGCACAAGCTACCATACCAGCTTCCCACCTTTTTAAAACTACTAATGCTGGGGTTGGAGAGATGGCTTAGCAGTTAAGAGCACTGGCTGCTCTGGCAGAGGACCAAAGTTGGGTTCCCAGCAACCACATAGCAGCTAATAACCGTCCATAACTCCAGTTCCAGGGGATCTGACACCCTCTTCTGACCACAGGCATTGCACGACATGGTGTACTTACATACATGCAGGTAATACACTCATACACATAAAGTAAAAATTTTTTAAATTTTATGTGTGTTTTGCCTGCATGTATAAAAGTACACTAAGTGCATGCAATGCCCACGGAAGCCAGAAGAGGGCATCAGATCCCCTAAACTGGAGTTTAGGACAGTTATTAGCTACCATGTGGGTGCTCGGGACCAAACCTGGGCCCTCTGCAAGAGCAGCCAGTGTTCCTAACCTTTGAGCCACCTCTCTAGCCCCTTGATTATCAATTTGACAAGATCTGGAACCACCTAAGATTCAAGCTTCCAGGTACATCTGTGAAGAAATATTTAGAATGGACTAGCCTCAGGGCATGCCTGTGAGCCATTATCTAAACTGGGTTAACCGAAGTTCAGAGTCGCCCTAAAGGGAGTGTAACAGGATTCTCTGTCCTTGAGTCCTGCACTGCAGGGAATGAAGGAAGTAGCTGAGCATTCACCCTTCTTCCTGACTGCCAACACAATGCAAACCAGCTGCTTCAAGCTACTGGGCCTTGTGACTTCCCTCCATGACCAGCTGGATCTTGAACTGTGAGCCAAAATAAACCCTTTCTTCCTTAAGACGCTTTTGTCAGGGTTATTTTGTCACAGCAACAAGAAGCTAAGGTAGGGGGATAGCTCAGTGATAGAGTGCCTGCCCGGTATGCCGGAAGGCCTGGGTTATGTCTCCAGTTCAAGAAAGTTCATGTCCAAAAGTAGAAAATACATTATATACATTATACTACACTCTCCAAAGGAAATATTGCATTGCCATTAAAGCTTTTACACATGAGGTGGGGTGAAGGCTTGTCCGCTAATGCTAACTGGAAAAAGCAAACAGAAAACCAAACATTACAAGCTAGGCAAATAGTGTCACCAGGCAACAAAACATACGTATAAAAAGACTTCATGGGGGCTGGAGAGATGATTCAGTGGTTAAGAACACTGGCTTGTTCTTGCAGAAGACCTGGGTTCAAATCCCAGCACCCACATGGCAGCTAACAACTGTCCATAACTCCAGTTCCAGGGGATCCAGCAGCCTCTTCTGTCCTCCATGGGCACTGCACAACACGGGTGCACTTACCTACATGTAGGCAATACATGCGTACAAAATAAAATAAAAATAATAAATAAAATATTAAAAAAAAAACACTTCATAAAGAAATACAGTGAGATGTTACATGTCGATCACATGTCAGTTTGTTCCAGTTCCTGTTTTCTAAACTTTCTGCACTATCATTTTGTTTCTGAAAGTTTTTACATTTATAAAAAGGAAACATAGGAGCATCTAAAGGGGGGATGTCACAGTGCAAAGGACCCTGAGAGCCAGTGTCACCTTGGCTCTTCCAGGATATCAGCATCGTCAAGCCTGAAACACCCATGACCAGCCCATGAGCCACTCCCCTGTGGATGATGCCAGTGCCACCCCATCAAGCCAGTCAGAACTAGTTGGCACAGCATCCTGGTGCCTAATCTGGACGACTTTCCACTGGAAGGACCTGGCCTAACTCCAGTGTCGGGGTGGGGGGGGGGCATGACCCTGATTGTCCAGTGTAACTGTCCCTGACTCAGAGACACTGTTTTAAACTGTGGTACCCTTTTTGCTAGGCTGTTTTCCTGGGCCTCAGGGTCTGCTGGCTTCTCACTTAGTTGGACACTAGGTGAACAAGCCTGGAGTTGGCCTGACACCAAATGTTGCCCACTGCCTGGTGAGTCTGCTAGTGGCTGAGGCTCACCTCATCCATGCCAGAGGCAGTGAAGAAGATACCAATCTCCTCAGCATACCGCTGCAGCTCCCTGTACTGAGCATGGCTGAATTCTAGGTGCCGTTTATGCTCTCCATATGTTGTCCCCCAGGAATGCTTCGAAGTATACGGTCTTTCCAGGGCCTTCCGGTTAAACTTGAACTCCAACTCACTCTTCTGAAACTTGGCACAGTCAGCCCCACACTCCTGAAACACACAGTAGGATGCTTTTCAGTGACCTGGAGCTGTGGGATTCACAGAGAACAGAAATGTTGGGGTGACAATAAGACATTGCTATCTTTAAATTTTTTTTTATTTATTCATTTCATTTTATGTGTACGAGCGTTGTCTGCAGGTACGTTATGTGCACCTGTGCATGCAATGCCCGAGGAAGCCAAAAAGGGTGTTGGATCCCCTGGAACTAAACTTGCAGATGGTTGTTAGGTGTCATGTGGTACTGGCAACCAAACTCAGGTCCTCTTCTGACCTCCATGGGCATTGTAAGCATGGGTTGACTTTACACGCAGGCAAAACATAAACATAAAAAATATAAATTAAAAAAATATTTTTTTTAAGGCCAGACATGCCGGGTGTGGTGGTGCATGCCTTTAGTCACAGCACTTGGGAGGCTAAGGCAGGTGGATCTCTGTAAGTTCAAGACCAGTGTGGCCTACACAGTGAATTCCAGGCCAGCTGGGGCTATAGAGAAACCCTGCCTCAATTAAAAAAAAAAAAAGCTAGACACAGTAACATGTGCTTATAACCCCTTCACTGGGAATGTGGAGACAGGAGTCCCTGAGGTTCGCTGGTCAGCCAGTCTAAGCAAATTGGTGAGCGCCACATTCAATGAGAGACCTGTCTCAAAAAATATGGTGGAGGGCTGGCAATGTGTCTCAGTGGGTAAAGGTACCTGCCACCAACCTTGACAAACTGAGTTCAATTCCTGGGTCTCACACAGTAGAAGGGGAGAAATGACTCCCACAAGTTGTTCTCAGACATACACCATGGCATGCACACACATACAAGTGTGTGCTCACATATGCCATGGCACATGTGGAGGTCCGAAGACAACTTGCAGGAGTCAGTCTTTTCCTCCACCATGTGGGTCCTGGGGATTGAGCTCAGGTCATCAGGCTTGGTGGCAAGCACCTTTATCTGTTAGGCCATCTTGCAAGCCCCATTTCTCTCTCTCTTTTTAAACATGCTGTGTCCCAAAGCAGCTGCATTGCCCCTGACAGGTCAGAGGGGCCACAGCACCCTGGAATGTTTCTTTGGCAGACAGAAGAAGCACCCGTCCATGGCTGCAGACGGGTGCAGAGTGAGTCTGAAATATTTTTCTCTGTTAAAATGAAAAAAAAAAAATTGGAGCTTTTTCCCCATTGTTTTGACTACAACATTAAAGTAGTAAAGCCAGGTGTGGGGCTCATGCCTATGATCCCAGCATTCAGGAGGCCACATGGCCTTGGCTATGTAGGAGTTCAGTAAGTGTATGGAAAGGAAAAGGGAAAAGAAAAGGACCAAACCTGTCAAGCTGGGAGTGTGATTATCACCTGTAATTTCAGATACTCATGAGAGTAAGTCTGCAGGATTGAAAAGTTAAGGCCATCTTAGATAAAGTAGTGCAACCCTCCCAAAATAAACTTAAAAAGGAATTGAGGTGTTTGTCTGGCATGGGCAAAGCCCTAGGTTCAACATCCTCTATCCCCTTCCAAAAATAAAGTAATTAATCAAAGAGTTCAGCCAGGTGTGGTGGTGCACATCTTTGATCCCAGTACTTGGGAGGCAGAGGCAGGTGTATCTCTGTGAGATCAAGGCTACACAGCAAGTTCCAGGCTAATTGGGGCTATGGGGAGACTATCTCAAAACAAATAGGGGCTGGAGAGATGGCTCAGAGGTTAGGAGCACTGGCTGCTCTTGCAGATGACCCAAATTCAGTTCCCAGAACCCATGTGGCAGCTAACAACCATCCATAACTCCAGTTCCAGGGGATCTGATGCCCTCCTCTTCCTTGGGCATTGACGACACGGGTGCACTTACATACACACAGGCAATACATTCATACATATAAGATAAAAATAATAAATAAAATATAAACAAACAAAAAAGAGTTCAGAAGAATTTAAGTTATAAAACTTACAAGGATAAAACAAAGGGAAGAACTTGCACCCTGCCCCACCTCCTGACGTCAGCAGTAGCAGCTCCGCCCCACCTCCTGGCGTCAGGAAGAGCAGCTCCGCAGTTGTTTGGTGCCTGTGTTTTTCTGCCTGACACTCTCTGAACAAGTTCTTCACCACAAAGCAAACAAGCCAATCTGAGAACTGTTCTAGTTGGACATCTCTGCTGAGTGGAAACCAAAACAAAAAGGCTGGATTGGCAACTCATAAAAGCTATAATTCTGTTGCAAATCTGCTTCCAATGGCTCAGGACTGTTTCAGAAACTATTCTAGAAGATGGTAAAATCTTCTGAGGTCTCAGCCTGCAGGCCTTCCTATACACATAGAAGGCATTTCTGTTATTGAAAATGGGCCTGCTGCTGGGTATGGTGGCTCACACCTTTAATCCCAGCACTTGGGAGGCAGAGGCAGGTGGATCTCTGTGAGTTTGAGGCTAGCTTGGTCTATATAGTGAGTTCCAGGCCAGCTGGGGCTACAGGGAGACCCTGTCTTAAAAATACCAAAATGAGAGGAAAACTAAATCTAGAAACATCCAACACTGTCATTCTACTGAAAAATAACTAGATGTCAAAGTCAGGACTTGAGGCCAGAAAGAAGATCAAACAGAACTGTAAATTGAGGCTGCGTGTGGTAATCCATGCACGTAATCTCAGCACAGGGAGGAAGAGGAAGGCTTCCAGAGCCAGACCCTGTCTCTGATGTAAGTGACCTTGCCTGATGTAAAAGACTTGTCACTGGCCGGGCATGGTGGCACACGCCTTTAATCCCAGCACTCAGGAGGCAGAGGCAGGTGTATCTCTGTGAGTTCAAGGCCAGCCTGGTCTACATAGTGAGTTCCAGGCCAACTGGGGCTACAGGGAGACCCTGTCTCAAAAAAGACAAAAAAAAAAAAAAAAAAGACATCACTGTAGGGGCAGGAGAGATGGCTCAGCGGTTAAGAGCACTGACTGCTCAAGCAGAGGACTTGGGATTCCCAGCACCCACATGGCAGCTACAAACCGTCCTTGACTCCAGTTCCAGGGGAATTAGATGCCCTCTTCTGACCTCTGAGGTATTGCACGACACAGGAGCACTCACATACATGCAGGCACTATACATACTCATAGATAACTCATAAATAAAAATAATAAATAAAATATATTTTTTTTAAAAAAAGACTTGTCATTGTCAGGATGAAAACCCCAAGGCCAAAGTGGCCTGACCAAAGTCATGGTGTCTGATAGACCCCCTTTCTAAAGGCAATAGAACATGTATGATGCCTGGTGTGATGGTGACCCAGACTTGTAATCATAGCACTCAGAAGGCAGAGGCAGAAGGACTACAAAAGGCCAGCCCGGCACTTTGGGAGGCAGAGGCAGGCGGATCTCTATGAGTTTGAGGCCAGCCTAGTCTACATAGTGAGTTCTAGGCCAGCTGGGGCTACAGAGAGACCTTGTCTCAAAAACACCAATAAAAAAAAAAAGGCCAGCCTAGTGTACACAGTGAGTGCAAGGCTAGCCAGAGCTACACAGTCCCTGTCACCAAAACAAAATAATAACTAAAAATAGAACATGTGCCTTTAATCCCAGCACTCAGGAGGGAGAGGCAGGCGGATCTGTGTGAGTTCGAGGCCAGCCTGGTCTCCATAGCAAATCCAGGCCAGCTAGGGCTACAGGGAGACCCTGTCTCAAAAAGACCAAAAAAACAAGAACATGTATGTCCTGTCTAGAGACTCTGACATGGATTTCTGCTGCCTCGAACCCCCAGTCAGCTGAGGAGGAGGCTTCCCAGAGTGTGGTAGTAGGCTTCCACTCCTCACCACGGATTGCCAACTCACTCTCCTCTCCAGAAGTTAAAAAAAAGCCTGTCTCAGGTGTCATACACAACTTTACAGGAAGGTAACAAAACTGAAATAGCAGAAAATGCCATCAACAAGAACTCAGTTAAGTATCTTCTTTCCTAAAGCCAAGTGATGTACCTGTGCACAAGCATGAAGGCCAGAGAAGAGCTCGGGTGTCCTGCTCTATCATTCTCTCTACCTTGTCCCTTTAAGGCAGGGTTTCTCTACTAACCTAGAGCTCAAGTGTTCACGCTAGGCTGGCAACCAACAAGCCCCAGCAATCGATCCTTCTGTCCCTGTCCCTGCCCCTGCTCAGTGCTGGAGTTACAGGTGTGGGGTGCTGGGATCCAAGCTCCAGTCCTCATACATGCACAGCAAGCATTCCTAACCACTGAGCCATCTCTCCAGCTGTTTTGTTTGCTTGTTTGTTTTGAGACAGGGTTGTACCATGTAGCTCTGCCTGGCTTGGAACTCACTACATAGACCAGGCTGGCTTGGAACTAAAATCCTCTTGCTTCTGCCTCCTGAGTGCTGAGATTAAAGGCATGCACCACCATTCTTAGCCTGATTTTATTTTTTTGAGATCCAGTCTCATGTAGCCCTGTTTGGTCTCAAACTCCTTATCTCCCTCCCAAGTGCTAGGTTTACCAACCATCCACACCTAAGATTTGTGTTTTATCAAAACAAGTACTCATTTTTCTGCTGATTTTTATCAAGCTTTTGACTACCTAGGAAATTGATCATGGACTACAATACTTTGCCCCCCCCCCAAAAAAAAGAAGGAAGGAAGGAAGGAAATGTAGTATGTAATTCCTCAAACCCCCAAATTACTTTATACAGCTTCTGCCGAAGCACTCAGGAGCATTCTTCTAACACCTATACTTGACACTCAAATGCATCTATCCCTTAGCTTAGTCAATAAACTCATTAACTGCTTCACTCTGAGTTCTGAGGCGCCAAGCCAAGGTCAGGGCTTTACCAGAGGTCCCTGACAGTGTCAAGTGGATGTGAATTCCTTGGAGTCAGTAACCTTCTGTATCATTCATTATAACAATGTATTTTATCATAATACAATAAAAAGAACTGAACAGACTACTTTTAATCTGCAAACAGACTTACTATGTAAGCAAGCCAGCTTGTATAGAACACATTTCTAGGTAACTAAACTTGCAAATGTGACTCCAGCAGAAAAGTTAAATAGTAGAGATTGCAAGGCATTCCCCTGCTTTAAATTTAAAACGAGAGAGAGAGAGAGAGAGAGAGAGAGAGAGAGAGAGAGAAAGAAAATATCTGAGCCCTAAAGAAGAAAAGTTTGCACTACAACACAGCCTTGGCCTTGCAATCATGCCCCCACCCCCAACTACTAAGGAAGAGAATATGTGAGAGAAAAACTGTAACTCTATTCCCATGGCTTTAGTATCTCTAGGTATTTTTACAACTTCAGCCTGAAAAGAGGTCACACCTTGGAAAAACAGGCTGCTTCTTCAAATTAAAGCTGGAATTTTGCCCTTTATAGTATACAGACTGGAGACCTATGTCTAAAAGCAAAGATTAAAAATTGAAGTAAAATGGCTAGGTGTGGTGGCGGACTACTTTAATCCCAGCACTTGGGAAGCAGAGGCAGGTGGATCTTTGTGAGTTCAAGGCCAGCCTGGTCTATATAGCAAGTTCCAGGCCAGCTGAGGCTACAGGGAGATCCTGTCTCAACAAAGACCCCCAAAAAAGGAAAAAGTGAAGTAAAAAACAACATTATTTACTAGCTATGTGCCTTGGGAAAATTACTTAAGTTCTTTAAGTCTTTAGAGTGAACTTAACAATAGATTGTTGTAGGAATTGAACAAGACGGTGCACTGAAGCACTTAGCTCAGTAGCTCAGAGAATCCACAAACTGCTAGCAGTTGTCATTTTCTAAAGTCTTGTTGTGCTTTGATGGCACTGCACTCATAAGACCAGTTAGCCCTGAAGAAGGGTCAGAAAAAGCAGTCAGAAATGACATGAAATCAGGTGACCAGCATTAACAAAGATGGCAGGAGGAACTGAGAGATGGCTCAGCACTTAAGAGTATAAATTCCTCTTACAGAGGACCCGTGTTCAGTTCCCAGCACCCACATCAGAAGGCTCACAACCACCTGTTCCAGGGGATCCCATAACCTCTGGCTTCCACAGGCATATAAACTCACATAAGCAGACAAACATACACATTAATAAAAAAAATAAACTAAAAAATTTTAAGTGGCATGAGCTATCTCAAGGAATTGCTTGGTGTAGTGGCTCATGTCTATAACCTTGGCACTTGGGAAGCTGAAGCAGGAGGACTGCCACAAGCTTGAGGCCA